TAGTTCTGTGCTGCAGAACCAGATGCACTGGCTTATGGACATCTGCTTAGAAATCTGTCGGTGTGTTTGGACAAATATTTTAACTTATTATACGCTGTCAGTGTCTCTGCACTAAAATGCCTTCATCCGGACTGGCCCTTTCTTGCCCAGACCTGGCCAGTGTGTGATAAATGGTTACGGATTGGAGAGTGTTCTACTGTTTTGTCACTCTTGACTGATTCTTGTTGGGCAGCATCCTATTAATTTCCATCTTTTTGGAAATGTCAGTTACCAACATTCTTGCTAACATTGGCTTCTGCTCCACAGACGCTGCATCTAAAATGGACAGCATGCCATTTAACGGGTTGCCATGCAGTGCAGTATTGTCCTAATCCGAATGAGCCAGTAGTCTGACCTTCACCAGCACGCTGAGGAGGCTGCAGACCTCCTGGCCAATTGAAGCCTTTCCTCTAGGCAGTAGGTCTGAAGAGTTACTAGCATCTGCGTTCACCATCGACCCTCAGAGGCATCAAGACAGCGGGCTTCTTCATAAGAAACAGTGCGATACGCTCCCAAAGACATACTGTAAGTGGAAAGGACAGGAAGTGCATTTAAAACCAAGAACAGGAGGTGCTTCTTTACATGAAGGCTTGTGGGAGCATGGAACAAGCCACCCAGCCATGTTGCTGAAACCAATTCCCGAGCCTTATTTTCCCCAAAACAGTTGTGGGAAATCTTTGAATCAGTTCGCTACTTAACTGGCTGATGGGGCCAGGTGAGCTAAGTGGCTTTCTCTCATTTGTAACCGTTCTTATTTTTTTTCGAAACTCCTCTGCTCCGAGATGAAATGAATAAGCTATGCAGCTAATAGGCACTTTCTCTCAGACAGTTTGTTTCAACAACAGTCTGTCCTGAGTGTCTGTGGAGTGGGCTCTTCTCTCAGCACACTCATGATTGAGCACTTGAAGAGCTGCCTTGCTTGAGGGTTTTGATGGAGGCAAGCTTAGAACAGATTTCTCTGTGACAGGCAGAGTATTTGGTGTCAACTGATGATTCCTTTGCGCATTCACTAATTTTCAAATGGACAGACTTGGCTGGAATTGTAATCTGAAATGATTTGATTCCCAGAGTGCAGTAGCTATTTTCTTTCAATAAACAAACCGCAAAATGCTTCCAGAGTTGAGGAGGCTAATAGCCTGACTGAGCCTGTGAGGTTCTTTTGAATAGAGATCTTCTCAATATCATGTCGACAGCAGAATAGTCCAGAATAGTCCAAATCTGAATGCTGAAAACTGTCAGCTGCCCCAGTAGATTCACAGTTCTGCACTCATGTGGAGTTTTTCTGCATTCTGAGATTTTGGATTATTTATAAAAATGAAAAATGCATGTTTCTCCGCAGGAGTTCAGAAACTGAGGCATTTTTCCCTAAAGAGGAGGAATTAATGATTTCCAGAAATTCCTTTTTTTGTGAATACAAGAAGTGAAATTTCACTTTGATCTCCTTGTTCTGTTGGAACATTATGAAATCACTGAAACACCTTTAGAACTCTGAAAGAAAAAAATCCACTTTCATTGCTAGAGCTCTGACAGCTGTTCACATAAAATATTACATAAAATCTTATTTTTAGCTTTATAAGTATTTGAAACTTTGTACAGCAGGATATCTTCTTACTGAATTTGTGCAAACAACCAAATACCTAAATAATATTTGTTATTAAATTATTGATATCTAGCAATTTACAGTTTCAGGTTTCTCAGTTTTGCTTTAAGATGTGGTCAGCAGCCATATTGCCCTGCAACTCACAGCTGGCAGCCCACTGAAGCTCAGAAGGTGTGAGTCTGGTCAGTACCTGGATGGGAGACTCCTGGAAAAGCTGAGGTTGCTGCTGGAAGAGGTGTTAGTGGGACCAGCAGGGGGCGCTCACCTTGTGGTCTGTGTGGGCCCTAATGCCCCAGTATAGTGTTGGGGACAGTATACTGTAAAAAGGTGCTGTCCTTTGGCCGAGATGTAAAATGGAGCTCCTGACTCCCTGTGGTCATTACAAATCCCAGGGTGTTTCTCAAAAAGAGTAGGGGTGTTACCCTGGTGTTCTGGCAAAATTTCCCTCTGGCCTTTACCAATCAAGTCCTCCTAATAATCCCCCTCTATGAACTGGCTTCATCACTCTGTTCTCCTCCCCACTGAGAGCTGGACTGGGGAGTGTACTGGTGCACTAGGGCTGCTGTCACATCATCCAGGTGGGGCTGCACACTGGTGGTTGTGGAGGGGAACCCCATTACCTGTAAAGCGCTTTGAGTGGAGTGTCCAGAAAAGCTCTATATAAGTGTAAGGACTTTTTCTTATTAAGTGGACAAGGCTCTGGATGAGTGGTGGTCATTTAACCAGGCATGTTTCTCTGTCCAAGGATTTCATCCAGCTGTTTCTTGAAGGATTCCAGGCAGTTGGCGTCATCCTGTAGGTCTGGGGCTCTTCAGCTCCAGCGATGAGGGTCAGGTGCTTCAGGGTTTGCGCTGGTGGAGGGAGAACCGAGCTGGAGTGGTGCTGCATTCCCGGTCGCGTTCCTGATCATCTCCGCACTTCCCTTCTCCAGGCCCACGAGAAGCTGGAGGAGACCAAGCTGGAAGCAGTGCGGGACAATAACCTGGAGCTGGTCCAGGAGATCCTGCGGGACCTCTCTCCGCTGGTGGACCAGAACTCCTCTGCTGCCGAGCTGGCCCGCATCCTTAAGGAGCCACACTTTCAGGTAGCCGTGCAAGGAAGCAATGAGCATTTGCGATTGGCTTAATTTGGGATGAATAAGGCCGTTTCCAGAGATCTCTGGGAGAAGACACACACAGGATTCATCCCTGACAGTGTCCCGATTTCTCGCAGTGTTACAGTTCTGGTACAGCCGTGGTCACCATGCGTTACCATGCATGGGTGTTTTTGAGTGACCATTACCAAACGTATTGGGATCGTATCAAATATTTCCACCAGCGGCTATCCCTGTTGATGTTCTTCCTGAGGCGTCCCATACAACAGCAGGTGTCTGTTTTAAGATGCACTCAAACCAGGGCAGGAGTATTGACCCCAGGCCAGAGTCGGATTGCTATAGTTCTATATGAAAAGCCTCCAAAAATTAGGACATTTCCTGTCCATGCTGGGGATTTGATACCTCTGCATGCTGCTCTAAAGTTTTGTACACTTTAACCCTGGCTAGAACACGCAGTGTAAAGCAAAAAGCGGTATTGAAGAATTAGTATTTCTGAAAAGCAAAGCGCTGGCCTTCCTTTTTCCTTCCCTCCGCTCCCAAATACGTCAAAGCCGTTGAAATCGAGTGTCTGCCGCTTGGCCTGGAGCCCACTTCCTGTTCTGACGCGGTGTCCCCGCCCTGTGTGCCCTGTGATTGGTTGACAGTCCCTCCTGGAGACGCACGATTCGGTGGCCTCCAAGAGCTTCGAGACGCCCCCTCCCAGCCCCTGTGCCTTCATGGACGCCGCCCTGAATAACCAACCTGTGCCGCCCGACGCCGTGCGGATGGTGGGAATCCGGAAGGTTGCTGGCGAACATCTGGTAAGCAATTGGAGCGCCAAGGGACATTGAGGATTTTTTTGAAAGGATATACAGTATGTTGGATAAAGCCCAACCCCAATGCGCCTAGTTGCTCTGAATATTTTGAATAAATAATATTACAGTGTTTAATATTAGAATAATATAATATACAAGGCAATTATCTCCTACTTTATTACCCTTGATGGTTAAAATAACTCTTGGTGAGCGAACCTTTCCATAACGAGGTTGTAGATGACAAAAACGTCCCAATAAAAATAAATAAAGCAGTGTTGTTCTCCTTTCTCCTGAAAAAATGCGTTCAGAAGATGGTAAAACGGCTGCACGTCTCTGTGAATTATGGCTTAATTGTGAATATGCTGTGAGCTAGAGATCTTTGATTGCATGCCTGGGATAATTGAAGTCACTACTTTAATTATTTTTTATGAGCTTAACGAATCTCTCTCTCTCCATCTTCTCCAGAGCGGTTGTTAATACTAGCAAAACTCTCTTGAGAAAAACTGCCCACAGAGATGCACGTACAGTATAATAACAGCCATTCCATATAGGAAATCTGATGGAACGACGCAAGATTTGCACAATGTCACGCCTGACTGTACAGTGACCTACTGTTAACGCGCTTGCTTTTGGGATGTTTTTTCTGAAAAGAGCTGTGGTTAATAGATCTTCACCTTACAGCTTGGCCCTTAAAGGTGACATATCAGAATACCAAAATAAATGAAGCAAAAGATCCCAGAAATCTTAACACCGCCGTACAGGTGTATCCCTCAAGTTAGATTGTCCTGTCACCAGCACAGGGTTTGCTCCTTTTTCAATTTACTAAAATGATTTATTACTACTGATAGATAGCCTTTGGCCAAAAATAGCAGCACTTTTTCCTCTTCCTGCCCTCAATGCTATATGCTCTGCTATTGCCCTACAAGACTGGTAGGGGAGCGCACCATCTGTCTCTGAGCAGAGCTGGCACAGGGAGTAAGTCAGGAAGCACTGGTAACTTGGCATTAAGGTCAGGACTCAGACCGGGGGGTAGGCCTGGGACTCTAGAGAGTAAGTGCTGAATGAAGTGGACGCATGCCATAATTCTGCTTGTCATTCTGCACACTGGTACGACATGGCTGAAGGAATCTTCACTTACAGATCCACAGCCCCTGCTACATATAACCTGGTCTATCGTTTCATATTCCTTTGTCTTCAGCAGTGGGGGTCCTCTGTGTGGATTCCTTTCACTTCATTTTCTTTACAAAATGTGATGGTTCAAATTTAAGATGTTATTTAGGGGGAAAAAAAACACCCTGTGATAATCTAGCCTTGTTGCTTTGGAAATTCACCTGGCTAGAAAGAAAGAGCGAGTGTTGTCATAGGACCTCCCTGGAAATGCATAGAAATTCCTGCAGCTCTAGGGTGAAAGCTGTCATCGCCTTTCCTCCAGTTTGTGCTGAGGATCTCCCTCTTCGTCGCAGCAGGGGTTGTAGACAGTCGAACGGTGATTGGCTCAGTGAGTGGGCAGGCCAGAGGAGCGTGTCTGCACGTCCTCTTTCTTCACACAGGGGTACCAGGGTCTTCACTGCGAGTCGAGATATGAAGCCCCAATTAGAGATTCCATGTTGGGTTGGTATATAATCTAAACATAGTTGTCATTTCTGATGTTTCAAAGGAAAAGGCTGTGTTAGTCTCAATGTGACCATTGGGTTTTAAGAAATACATTGTGGTGTTCCCATGGTCTAGTATAAAACACAGTGAAGGCAGGCTAAGATCACAGTGAACCACAGCAAGGTCCCGTAAAAACCACAGTGGAAGTGAAAGACCAAATTTCCCTCTGTCGTTTACCACTCATGGCCTCCTAATAATCCCCATCTCTGAACTGGCTCCATCACTCTGTTCTCCTCCCCACTGAGAGCTGGTGTGTGGGGAGTATGCTGGTGCATCATCCAGGTGGGGCTGCACACTGGTGGTGGTGGAGGGGATCCCCATTACCTGTAAAGCGCTTTGAGTGGAGTGTCCAGAAAAGTGCTATTTATGTGTAAGGAATTATTATTATTAAGTATATGTTTTGAGGTTGAGCCTTTCAGCAGGCCCAGTTCATTGTTTTCTTGGAGTGTGATAAATATTGATTGTTGAAGTAGGTGCTCCTTCAGAGTTGATTGAATACTCATTAGCTCCAGCAAGATGATGTAGCGACACAAGTGGTGCGTGGCAGGAAGTGATGCGTGTGCTTGGCCATCAGTGCCCCGGTGGTGGTGGGGGTTTTGCTGGCGCGATGTCAGCCTGTGGTTTCCCCGTGGCAGGGCGTGACGTTCCGCGTGGAGAGCGGCGAGTTGGTGATCGCGCGGATTCTGCACGGAGGCATGATCGACCAGCAGGGCCTGCTGCACGTGGGCGACATCATCAAGGAGGTGAACGGGAAGGAGGTGGGCAACGACCCCAAGGTGCTGCAGGAGATGCTGAAGGAGGCCAGCGGCAGCGTGGTGCTCAAGATCCTGCCCAGCTACCAGGAGCCCCACCCGCCGCGCCAGGTCAGCCCGCAGTCCCAGGGGGGCGCCCCTCCGTGTACACACACACGCGCGCACACACACGCGCACACACACGCACGCACGCAC